TTCACTTTGAAATTTTTTCATCAATCATTCCTAACGAAGGGAGAACCCAATGTAATGAAGTGTACCGCGCCCTTGTTTCACCAGAACTACTTCAGGTTTAAATGTCAACTCACCTATTAGATAAGTTCAAATAACTACAAGGAAAGGCTGAGCGAAGAAAGCGAGAATAGTCGAACAGTTTTTTACGGTCAGTCCAGTCAGTAGTTTATTTTTCACCAAAACAAAAATGCGCTTGGTGCAAACAGAAACTAGAGAAAAAATGAAAATGGCATTTCACGATAAAGGGTGACGCAAAAAACAATGTTGGTTATATAGCAGCGACACCTGTGATAAAAGTATAACTTTGATATAAATTGAATATAAAGAAGTCGAATCAATTCATGTAATTGATGTCCCAAAACCAAATCCGTTACAAATATGAGACTCCGTGCACCGGCGAAGCACGCTTTTCCCTCTGAACGAGACCCCATACAAGCAAGTAGAAATTGTACATAAAACGCGTTACCCCTAACACTGTAACGACTTTTTCAGATATGAACAAAATCTACTATTTTATTGCCTCTAATACACAACAAAAATAGTTATCTGTATGAAAAAATCGAAAAACCAAGATGTTGCCCACCACGCGCGTACCGATAAAAGAAAGAAAACCAACGGTCGTTGCGGAGAGCACTATCTATATAAAGTGTTAATGCTGCTTATATCGCTCTTTGATTTTCATCACTGCCCATCTCTTCCCCGTCCTTGATCGGAGTATACTTGCTATCTCGTACGTCATCGTTCTTTAATGTAAATTTTGTTTACAAAGCACTGTTGGTGATGACAGATTATTACCTCATAATGGAGTTTGTCTCAAGTATTGTGGAGTCATAAGTAGGTATCACCTTGTAATAAATATAGCTCACTTTTTATTTAATTGATCACAAACGAAAAAAAATAATAATTGGCGCCGGGGCCACACCGCACAAGAATTTGTTTTGTATAAAAACACCAAAATCCATCATTTTGCCTCAAAATATATCGCCGTTTTGGCCTTTTTGACCGAAAATGCGCTGATTTTGACCAAAATTCTGGAATCGCTGCTTAGTCATAGGAAAAATGTGTAAAAACTTCGCATTAACTCTGCGGGTTTTCCGGCAAACACAAGGTCGGTACGAAAGTTATTTATTATCGCTTTGAAGTGGGTTATTTGCGCCGGCACTTAACTTTTTGAGCATCGTAATTTGACCTATGAACTCGTCCCTTTGTTGTTTATTGTTTCGACATAATAGGTATGGAGACGAAGGACGTCAGCGCAAATAAGCTCCTCACATTCGTTCCACGCAAGAGCGCAAAAATTTTGAAGACTTTGACCAAGATAAAATAATTTTTGGGGCAAAATGACCCATTTTTTGGGTTTTTAAAAAGACCACCAGTGAGATCTGACGAAAATACAAGATTTTTAACATTTGCTGGAAATTTGATCTGTTTTGAAAAGTTATTATCAAGTGTGACTGAAATAAATATAAAAAACATGACTTTTCCTGAATTATGAGGTTTTATAGGAAATTTGCCAAATCAACCTTTCGCATCGAATTTCTTGAAACAAGACAAAAACCGAGTCTAAAAATTATTTGTTCAAATAATTCCTAGTTGATAATTTTAATAGTATGTACTCACAACGTCTTTACGTACATGACGCATTACTGATGACATAATAAATAGTATTCAAAATTCAAATCTATTTTTTTGTTTAAATTGTCTAAATACTGCCTAATTTATATAATGAATATTACTTTTCACAACTTCTTTTCAAACGGGGCTCTACAAGCATGAATGTGGCAGTCCGAATGACGTCACTAATGATGACGTCACAAATAGTATATACAAAATTACAATTTTTTTGTAGATTGTGTGCCACAGCTGCACAGCTGTTTTGTAATAAATTAAATGAGAGTTATTAGATTATAGATGAGCAATTTTTTAACTCTCAATCACCACAACAAGACCAACTACAATTTAGCACTTCGTGTCCAATAAAAGCCTCAAATTGTGAATTTGAAAGCATAAGATTGTCGTTTTTGATTAGAATTGTCTTTCGTTTTCTGGGGTTTAAAAATGCTTAATAGATTTGTGTAGATAAATGCCATGCTGTCTTTTACAAATGTAAAGTTCTTTTAAATAGTAAAAAGACAGTTACAGAATACCGTATTACTAAGTGCCATTCCCTGCAACATTCTTAAACAATTCTGATACCTCGTGCAGAAATTTTTGAACCACAAAATGACATTTCGCACTCATGAAAGAATTCGGCAAACAAACTAATAAATCAAAATTTTCGGCCTTAATAGTAGATTGATCAAACCATTGCCGGAGGCATTCTACACGCGAGATGAGTCGAAATGCTGTATCGATCAAATTTAAGGATAGTTGATTGCTCGGCGGTGAAACTTGGTGATTTACCAACAAATTCCGATGCATTTAATACATATTTACAAAAAAAATGATTTAATTATTATGCCATTTATGACGAGATAAATAACGTCACAAAGACATCTAAAAAGAGCGCGAAACTTGATTACCCTTGTACATTTGTTTATAACATACACATACCATTGTTTACCACTATTGTTTTACGGAAAACGGTTTTGTTACGCATGAATTAATTTTCCCGCCATTTTGCTAAATACCATTGTGTGGTGACAGCGAGATCAGAAGCTTTTAGCAACCTCACTGTGATACTTGACACATTAATATCCGCAGTTTTCTGGAAAACAACCAAAAACTTACTTTATCAGCTTCTGGAAAAGGGCAATAAAATGCTTTTTTGTTACAAAAATTGACCCCAACACTGAAGGCATTTCAATACTTTTTTGTTTTGAAATTTTTTCTCCAAGGCGAAACGACGGAACTCAACAACACGATGATAAGAAGTCTGATGTCAGATAGAAAATGAAAACAAATCAAGATCCCTCGTTCTGATACGTTTAAAGTCAAAAGCATCAAAAACAATAAAACTTGTTTTTAACGAAAAACAACCCGTTTTAAACACAAACTTAACATTTTAAAAACGAATAAATACCTAAAATAACTATTTAAATGAACCTTCTGCATCGCCTAAAGTCAAATTTGATTAGATTCTAATATTCAACTTGTTCCACCCGCACTAATATCCGAGAAGAGGTCGTGATCGACGATATCATTATGTATAGCAATTCATATATATATGGTCTCAATCTCTATTTGAATGGCCTTCTGCATAGATGGTTACCAGGCCGCCATATAGACAGCAAGTTGGTAATAGGGCTGAATATATGGTCACAATTCTTATTCGAATGGCCTCCTCCATAATGGACTAGTGGGCTGCCAAAAGGACAGAAGGTTTGATTTTTAGGGTATCTATTCGAACCCTTTTAACTCTTTCGGGTTGAACGAGAAAATTAAAGCTGAAATTTTGATTATTTAACCGTAATTTGAATCGGTTTCGAGTCGACATTAACATATAACTTTGTGTATTTTCTTTATGAAGCAAGAAGTTTTCTTTTGAAATTTGACATAAGCTTATTGAATAGCTGACAGATAACAATATAATTCGATATCTCCCTCTCAATCTGAAACGTTTCGTGTGAGGCGTCGTTTTCACGTGCGTTAGATGGATAGATTGATATTGTCATTCCAGACTTGTTTGAGATCGCAGTTCGAAAGAATCGTATGCGGTTTCGCTGTAAATACTGATTAAACGCAATGTTTTTTCTACAAAAATTATCTCGGAAAAAAAAACGCAAGCACGATTTCTCAACGCTCTTAAAGCTCGCTAAAACTCTATATGCAGTTACGCAACCATGAGAAAACTACTTTGAAATTCGATCATTTTTGCGAATTTTTTACTTTAGACTATTTTTGATTTTTTGTTTGTAATGAGTTGCCATCACAACTATTAAGTCTTGTGGGGATGTTTTACGAAGACGATAATTTTCCGGTTGTCGATCGACTTGTAGTAGAAATCGAGAATTTTGTATCTGATTGAGTTCCCACTGTTCTTGAAATTCCTAATCTTTAGTGCATTTTCTTATATTATTGGAGGGGGTGAGTATTTATATTCAAACTTTTGGACACAATACGTCATCAAATAGTGACGTCAAACTGTTACTTTATCACAACTATCAAAGCTATGAATTCCCGGTGTAAAGCTCTCCAAAACACCCAAAAACATTTTTTAATTTTACTTTTCTCGGATAAAATTAATTATCCGTACATCAGAAAAATTATCTCCGGATATCCGGTGTTCAAATTCCATACGATCTATAGTTCCATTTAAACTATCTGAGTCAATTAAATAAGCGTTATCGCTTTGATGAACCGGTGTCTCGGTATAATAACAACAACAACTTAGATATCGATTTCAACCTGAATGTTAGCGATATCATAATTAAAATATCAAATCCATTTACATCCTGTTAAATATGGATATTAGAATAAAAATTTCTGAGTCTCAGTTTACATTAAACATCAAATGATAACACCTTTTCATCTTCTTATGTTACATACCCACCCCATAACAAGTTAAAATCCATACTTAATAAGCTATCATTATCGTGAACGTAAGCCCATTTTCAGAAGAATGTTAGAACTTTGTTGGGAGCAATAATTTGATACCCAAAACATAATTTAAATCCCCCGCATTGATTTCACTTCTGTCTGGGTGATCAAAACTTAATTTGATATTGCTTTGATCTTGTAATATGTTTTGAAAATCAATCCAATTGGTAACATAATATCTTAACCAACTCAACAATATTAACTGAGAAATATAAAATTAATATAATAAATGGATTAAAGTTCAGGTTAAAATTGTGACGTCGTGCTTTATTGTGACGTGCTATTTCGTACTTGTCGAAATTTTGTCAGCATTATTTTCTTGACAGAATGATTAAAAATATTCAAAAATTGTTATTCGGTTATGACGTCACATTTTTATTATGACGTATACAACACCAATGACGCAAACAAAAATATTTTACCTTTTTTCTTGGTGATTTGCTGCTGGAACCCCTTCTCACTCTAATTAATGAGGAAGACGAGTCTGATGACGTCATAATCATATGAAGCAAATCTGATGGCGTCATAATTTCATTGCTAGGATGATGTGTGAGGTCATAAGTAATCAATCCATTTTCTTTTGGCGTGTTATCTCCGTTTGAGTGTACTCCGATTTTTGAGTTTTTATTTTCTTTTTCATCTGTAAATCTCGGGGAGTGAATCCCTCCAATCGTGTTGCAGCGAACTGTCTGCACGACAAAAACCGCCACTAGGTATTGAGATAGGTTCATATTGTATTGTTTGAAGAAGATACTTTTCGTCTATATAGTTCAATTTATTCCGTTTTACTTTCTCATGAAACTCTTATTCCATAGCAGTTAAGTGTAAGTCTCTGTAATGAATATTGGCATAAGATATATTAGATTACTCGCGGTATTTTTTACATCTCCGCTCGAAAAAATGCTGCGATTATTTTTTATTAAGTTAGCTTAAATCAAGATCTTAAGTCATAAACTAAAAGTTGTAGATTCTTGTTATATCAAATTTTCAAGCGGCCACCGGCACACTAGTCAGGTTAGGTTAATATTTCACCTTTCACCGTAAAACGTAAACTACCCTAACCTAAAGTAAACGGCGCTCCAAAAGTATTCGTACCAAGATGACGCACAACCCTAACCTGGTACACATACTATGTTCAGGTTGTGCGCCATCTTGGTACGATTACTTCGGGAGCACCAAGTAAACAATATCAAAGGAATTAGAGGCAGGCAAATAAATGGATAGTACCCAAGTGAAAACTCCACCATGCCTACTAAACTACTTTAACCGAAGATCCGTATACAAATCTTCGAAATTACTGAGGTCCGGTCTTTTAAATAAATATACTTCAGTGCCTGGAACTTTTAGGAAAACACAAAAGCTCTCGGGGAAAACTGAGTCTTCACAAATAATTTAACATACTCAAAGCCCGTTGTAATAATAAATTCACCTCTAAAGGTATGATGAAAAGTACACATGGCCAATGCGATCCGAATCAAATACTCGGAAGGTCCGGATTCGAACCGCGATCCGCCAGTTGAGTAGCCCTGCACTCTGCACTATAACATAAAAAATTAATTTCGTCGAGAACGGTTACGCTTAGCTACAGCACAATAGGAATTACAACCCCCACGTTTTCAATCGCCAGATAAAGTTGATACTAAATTTATACAAACGTGTTGATATTTTCGGGAAAGCCATGATTGAAGTAAGCTTTAAACAATACTTTAGATCGCTGGAAAGTAATAAAAATAGTCGTTAGACATAGAAACTAATCCTCACTCGGGATCAAAACAAGTTGAACAATAGGGGAAGTGGTAAGACACGATTATACTGGATTAGTTTCAAAAGCTGGTATTTGTTTCCGTGGAAACCGTGCGACCAAATAACGGATTACCGGCAATTTTTATACCAGATGCGCACACCAGGATACGGATTAACGACATATGTACTCGCTTAGGATTCTTAACCACTGTCGAAACCAAGATCCATTCGTTTAATATGAAATGGTGTAACTATGTTTTTTTGTAAAGGTCCGATGAAAATCTCGTGTGTGCCAACACTGCCAAGTGTCATTGAGTTTGGTATTTTCGGTTAAATTTTACAATAGGCGGCTATATGAACATAACGAGTGGTTGATACCAATTCCTATCAAAACATAGACAGCTGGTAAGAAACGAACGATACACAAGAACAAGTATACAAAAATTGAATTTAAAAAAAATCAAAATTTAATAGAATTTGAAAGCCTTAAATTGTGTTCGTTTTTAGTATTTGTGCAAAGCAATATCCTACAATCCTACTCAGGATAAAATAAAACTCATTCAGTAGTAAGAGAATACTGACGCTACAAGAAATCAATCAGGTTTCGTTAGAAATCTTTTCGTTTGAGTTGAAGCATTGAGACTTACCAATATTGAAATTTAAAGTACTAGGGTGACCGCTATCAGATATCATTCAAGAATTCGTTTACCATGGCGTGCATCCACTTCTATGTTACACACCGCTTAATAGTTTCGTTATTTTCACAAAAGCGGCTTTACGTCAATTATCGGAGACCGATTATGATTAATGCAAGTAAAATTTTGGGGCGAACAATCGCAAAAATTTACCAAATTCAATGAAGTATTTCAACCCAATAATCTCGAGTCACGATTATATTTCAAATGGTCTAATCTTCTGCAAAAACAACAAATGTCCAATAAGCGCATTCTTACTAATAACTAATCATGAAGTCATCAAGTTGCGTCACCAGCATAATTCGTTAATTACAAATTTTGTTGATAATTATAATGACGTCATGGTATTACGTCATCAACTGGCCTTGAAAATTACATGGATTAGGGGAAGATGAGGAGGCTATATGGGTGGCATTTATTTACATTTCTCCCGTGAGACAATATTGAAAAAATTGCAAATTTCACTAAATATTTTTACATTCATGTCATTCGCTTTAGAATTAATCAGCCTTTCAAGGAAGTGTTCGGTCATCATAATGGTTCATACTTTTCAGTGTTATTTAAGGAGACCATGGCCCAGTAGTCGGCGTATTGGGCATGAATGAGTTTTGAGTTGTGTCCCAAAGTAAAGATCTCAAAGGGCATTCAAACATACGCCTCCTCACTCTGAGTATAATAACTCGAAAAAAAAAGTCGAAAATTTTCAAGTACGCTATACAAAACAGTAACTCCGTACATATCAGTGATTACTTGTTTTGAGCCTCGTTCAGGGTGAGTCGCCAGAATTTACATAAGTAAAAAAATAATTCACGAGTTTTCTAACAGTGGAGGCGTACTATCTTTGAAAAGAATAATGATAAATTGGCTTCTTAGGATGGTCCGTATTGAAAGGTGCGAATAGGTTCCAGATCAAAGGACGTTAGATAAACATCATATCTTAGCTGAGCTTGTACAAACAGTTATTATAGAGATAATGTTATTGAAGTATCACACCACACACGAGGTATACTAAGTGCTGCGCCCGCGTACCATTAGTGCAGGGGTCTCAGACTCAATTTACCTAGGGGCCACTGGAGGCAAAGTCTGGGACGCATCAGGTTTTCCACAATAAGTGTTTAGTTTGAAAAATTCAAATCTTCTCAAATTTTTTTATTTAAAAAAAAAAACACAAAACAAGTCAGAAAACATAAATGAACAAATTAAGACTAACTAAAAAAATAGGTAAAGGTATTAATAATTACTTTATTAGGAGTCAAATATCAATAATAAAAGTTCTTCGGTATCTTGCCTACTCTTGATACCAGATACCTGGCATTATTAATCATGCGAACTGAGCTACGTGACTTCCGGGCCACGCCAACATTAAACTTTCATTCTAAAGTTGGGGCCACAAACTGTCGCCCTGCGGGCCTCAATTGGTCACCCGGCCACGAGTTTGGGACCCATGCATTAGAGCCTCAGTGCATGAAGGATATGTTCCAAGTCAGAAAGTTTCATAATAGTATCAAGGTCACAAATATTACGTTAAAAGCAACCATTCAGAAAAATGTATGGACACGAAGCAGCATGACTGTAGATCTATCTTCCAAGCGATTTGGGTACTATTTAAATAAAAAGTGGTTTTTGTCCCAAATAAGAGCACTAAAGTTTTGTTCAACCCAACAACAACAACAATCACCCGAACAACAGCAACAATTTAGATCAATAATTAAATTTCGTGTCCAAAAATCAAATTACGAAGACACATGGTTCACCAAGCTGAGAATTTGAATACAATACGCTATTGACTTTGGTTCGGTTATAATCTGACGCGACCGCGAAAATCGAACAATTCCAAAAACATTTTTCGGTTTGTGAAGCAAATTTAAAAAAAAATGGTATTTCTAACTATTCCCATTTCAAAGAGTTTGAAAATGTTTAACTACTACAAGATAGGTATATATGATTTTAGTATATTCACAGCATACTCATACAGTAACGAAAAGGCAGAAATAAAGTTAGATTGTTTTAAATTGCTTATCTGATTTTGGTCAGACGAAACGTTACAATTGTGTACACAAGTGTGCAGTAGGGCTCTTGAATTGCAGAAAAAGTTAGAGTCACAAAATTGTCTGCAACTGCAAATTGTCTCTCAGTCAAAATGAAAACATTTTAGATCGAGGGTTGCTTTCAACCATTTCTTGTTTCCTTTCAAAACAACGCGAAATTCAACTTCATCTTTTTCTCAACTCTTTCTCATCTAGGTGGCATCGAATGTGAAATCTGAGCCTGGCACACCCGCTAATAGTGGTCAAATGCCAACCAAAGGTAATTTACTATACACAGAAGGCGTTCCGTCACCCCGGCCTCGGTATTTACTATAAAAACCTTAAACTAGCTGATCTTACTATATTCGACATCAAAATACCACAAACTATGAAAGTATGAACCTTCCCAATATTTAAATACTTGTGCAATGAAGCGCAACCAAACGCAGTGATCTCCAAATTTGACTTTGAAAATGGGTGATTCTGATTCTTCCATAACGCAGTAGTAGTTACATAATGATGAAAGCTTGCCCAAAATTTTGTTCAGAGCTGAGATGTTGAGATACTTAGCTTCAGTGGAAGTCAATAAAACGATTCTATAATTTGGCGATTAATAGTGTAGCGCTGACATGATCAAACTACGGCCAGCGGGCCAAATTTTGGCCCGTTGGGTACTTCAATCTGGCCCGCCTGATGCTGGCACAACCAAACTAAAACAAAATTTCGATGTTTTAGCTAAAAATTAGCTCAAGGAATTTGTTGAGATTGCGAACAAATTTGATTCTATTGTTTTCCACTTTTGCGGCTTTTATGACACTGTAAATATTGTTCATAAAATGTAACTTTTTACGTCACCCTCACATGGCCCGCTAGTCTAGGTGAGCAAAAATTTTGGCCCCTGCTTCGAAAACCTTGCCCACCCCTGGTCTAGCTGTCAGTATGGGTTAGTTGACCATCAATGATCAACTGATTGGCGGATGAAGTCATTTCCCAACAGTGTTTACGTAAACCATCCTAATACGACGAGGAGTCCTGAAATCGTCCACTACAAAATCACCCTCTTAGGTATAATTAGATCACAACCTTCCTGTGAGCGCACACAGACAAATCATCACAAAATTATTTATACTTAATAGCTTTCAACAAACCTTAAGTCACAGGTAATGAAATTAACGCGGACTGTTCTAAGACGGTTGAACGTCTGGGCAATTCTGCGCTCGTAAACGCGTGTTTTGGACACAAACAAGCGGCTGATTGGTGTCGGCTTAGTTCGACAAAATTACTTATTTTTAGAAACACCACGAATTGTCCTGATCTCGCAGATACCCAAAATAGTCACTCTAACAGTATTTTGGTTTCGAGTTTCA